GATGGTGCGACGCAAATATACATAACTAAAACAGTTTATATCTTGGCACAAAGATTTATTTTGCCAAAGCAATTACAAAGCATTTAACTATACCTGAACTATTAGTTGGTGTTGGTGGAACACGTTGATCATAGTCTTTGAGGAGCTTCTGAAGGATTAATTGCTTTCGTTTCTGAAGAGTTATTTGCTTCGGAGCTACTGTGCACCATTTTTTGAGGTTCACCAAAATCGATCGTCGGTGTGCCGTACTTCGCTCATTCCGTAATGCAGAGTAAAATGATAGCTATAATTCTACATAGCTGACCAACTCTTTAACAAGAGTCAAAAAGATGGACATATAGCTGGGAAGTGAAGTGAATGTCAGGTCAAAAAAATTTTTCTGTAAAAGAATTGTCATTGTATACATAAACATCCATATTAATTCTGACCTTGTCCTCCAGAAGACATACCAAGGTTACTGAATTATCTCATGATTGATAGCAAGATTTAAGATTGAAATCACGAGACGAGAGCAGGAATAATGTTTCACTTTGTGCTTACTAAAGTTTTCCATTTCATTCTTTTTAGGGATGATTTATAGTACTCACTTTCTTTTAACTAATGACACTAATTTGTCGTTTCTTAAAATGAAACCTTACTGATTTTGCTTTCCATGATTACAGAACGAATTTGGGATACTCAGAAAGATCCATCTTCCTTAAACATAAGTATGTTAATGGTTGAGGAGACCGTCGTTTTTCTAACCTTTAAACTGATCAGAAACAATTTTTTTAATCAGGAAATTTTGAATATTTCCAATTTCTCGTTATCAACAGTTTACTGCGAAGAAAATATATATTTAACTCGAAGAAAATGGAAAATTGTACTTCCTAGTGATTGGTTTTTTTTAGAATTCACACAGAGGTGCTTTATGATATTAGAATGATAGGTAAAATAAGATAAAGATCAAGAAAATGTTTGGGCAGGAGTAGATGTGGTAGATGGGAAACACACTGAACTGGACGTCAATATCCGGCTAATTAATTTGCATTTGCAACACACATTTGACACACTTTCATTATCTACC